ATATATGTGTGTGTGTGTATATGTGTGTATGTATGTGTATATATATGTGTCTGTATATGCATCTCCATATGTGTGTGTATATTTATGTGAATGTGTGTACACGCAATTTCTATGCATAGCATTGTTGTCATATATATAGTATTCTGTATTCCGTCATATTTGCATTCTACTTCGGAATTTGTGCCGAACTACTTACGCATATTAGTCTCTGTATATAGCATTACTGTACGTGCATCTTCCGACTTGTACTGCGCTAAACATCTCATGGCTTATGTTCGTTGCCTATATGTTCATGGCCTATGTTTCTTCACCCATGTCCACGTTGCTTGCCATGTATTAGGGAGGCTCGGGTTCTCCTCAAGTGACAAAACGTCACTTTTCTCCCGAGCCTGCCCTCATCCTTGGGATGAAATAAAATTGAATTGAATTGAATTGAATGAGTGGGGTTTAACGTTCCAAAAACAGCATATCATTATGAGAGACGCTGTAGTGGAGGGCTGTAGTGGGGGTTCTTTAACGTGCACCCAAATCTGAGCACATGGGCCTACATTTCCGCCTCCATCGGAATTGCAGCCGCCGCAGCCGGGATACGAACCCGCGACCTGCGGGTCAGCTGCCGAGTACCTTAGCCACTAGACCACCACGGCGGGGCATTCTGCCGGAAGCAAGCTGGAATTCTTAGTGAGGACACAACCTACTACTTTCGTTGCACCTCATATTTTTCACCATCTTCTGGGCCACATAGCCACTGTCGTAATGTGATGCGGGAGTCACTTTTGCGTCCAATGAGATCAGTGTGGTCAGGGAGGGCTTCACAGGCAACAATAATTTCATGAACCTCATTGAGGCGCCACACATCTAGCAGCTCATCCAGCTTATTCTGCCATTTTATTGAATTATTGTGAATGGCAGAACATAGAAAGCTGCTCAGTACTCCAGAAGGTATATGTTTCCACTGGAGGGTGATGGTGCCAAACTGTAAACACTGAGGCAATTCACAGAGATAAAAAATTGTGTCGGCGAAGGGTGATCATTCCAGCCAGACATTTTCTTTAGAATTCCAAAAAGAGATTTTAAGCGCGTCTGGGCAGAGACGAGACGTCATCAAGTATTTATAGCCCAAGGTTTTCGTGACATAGTGCCGGTGGGAAAGGGTGCTGGTAAGAGTGACGCGGAGTTCTTCGGCAGTGAATTGACATAGGAACCCAACCTCCTTAGGTACAGCGTTTTGCCAAGTTGCCAAGAGCCCGTTGATAACATGCCTGTAGCTACGGACGATGAATCTTTCGTAGAAATGAGCTTCGCACGCCACGCAGTCCTTTTCCAGTTGTTTGTCAGCGCGAGGAATCGTACGCTCCCAGGCTTTGCGCTGTTCATCGTCGGCGTGAGCAGAGAAGAGAGACGCTTTCTTCCCTTGTTTGCAGGCCGAAGCATATCCCACATTGCATCCAGGTGCAAAGCAGTGTCTTTGCTGTTTACGCATCACTGTTGCATGGTCACGTTTGCACGTATTGATCCCAAACAAGTCCAAATAGGCTAAGCGCAGGCGTTGCGGCTTGTTAGCACACGGGCAAGCGACTAAAAGTGCCGCGCTAGCGGCTGGCAAGCGCTCTAGGCCGATCGCGGTGGCGACTTGCGTGTTGCTTTACGGCGGAATGAAATGGTGGTGGTGGTAGTGGTTCATGTGGAAAAGAAAGAAGGCACCTAATTTCTGCCTGCCTACAGGTGACACGGCGCAGTGCCTCGGAATGAAATACCAGCACGCCTCCTTTCAAGGCGCGGCCGGCACGACGCTGACTCCTTTCCTTCTAGCCACCTAACCCTGCCCCGGAAACTCTCAAGTTCAAGTGATCACCTGTAGGGGAAAAAAATTGAACTACGGGCCATGAAGATGTTTTTTTTATTTATTTGTGTTACAGTGTACTGGAAAGGCATGAATATAGAAAGGGACAGTGGGTGCACTCTCCAGCACGGAGGAAGGAAAACGGTAAGGAGAGGGCATGCCCAGCCGGCGCAGGGCGTGAAAAGTGTGGCGGAAATGACATCATGGCGGCCATACTCACTAGGCACAAAGGCGGCGTTGCTATGGTTACGTGTTGCGCAGTGGAGCTGGTCTCGCAGTGAGCGGCCGCGGCTGGCGGCGGAATGTGTGCCTCCCCAGGTCTCGTGCTGAGCCGTGGCGGACAATATCTGTACTCAGCGCCACGTTATTGGTTACGCAGTGTTCTCCTGGCAGTTACATTACTCTTAGCAACGTTTACAAATCCCTTTGACCATTACGGGGTTTCAACAGTGCGTAGAACAATATCCATGTGCCGTGCGGTGGATGACGCGGATGAAGCAGTTAGTGTTCAGCGAAATCGCGTTGGGAAACATGACGAAGCTGAATGACGACGAACGCCTTGCAGGTCAGTGACGGTTGAGCAGTGCTCCTGCTTGTGACGACGGACGACGCTGTTGAGCCCAGCAAGACGCCGTGAGGACCATATGTGCACATACGTAGTTTCGTGTTGTGTGTGTACAGTAACAACTTGCATGTGCGTATTGAAACACCTTTTCTGTTCCGCTTGGTACACTCTCCACCAGCATTGCATGTAATCTCAACGTAACAGCAACCACGTTCAACTGTCACTAGCACCGTGCTCAAAGTCACCACGGTCGCAGAATGCTGACGCTGGTGAGTTTCACGCAGAACACGGACACAGTGGCAGGACGCTGCGTCGGCCGCGTGGCGGAATGCAACCGTAGAAGGCGCACGACCGATCGTGTTGTCTGTACAGTTGCTGAATTAACGACGTGAAAGCGCTCGCCGTTGTCAGTGCATCTAGCGCGCGTTCTCTCGTAGTTGCTTTGTTGTCGGTGAGCTGTTACTCCCTGTTATTACTCGGACGAAGCGATTTCGCTGAAGGTGTCCCGCTGGCTTAGAGTGATGAGCCCAGTTCCATTAGTTTCGGATCGTCACGACACACGCGCTGCGCAGCCCACGTGCTTTCCGAGCCGGAGAGGGAGTCGCGCCTTCTGCTTCGCATTCATAGGTAAAAAAGAGAGGAGAATTTGCCTAGTCAATATGGCCGACTTCCGGTTTCATCGCGGCTTCACAACGAGTGACGTCAGGGCCTCTCCTTACCTTTCCTTCCTCCGTGACTCTCCAGCGAAGGGTGTGCAGAGGATGGCTCCAGAAACTTCACACGTTTGTTGTTCTCTGTTCACACAAGCGGCAGCGCTGGCATCGCCACCAATGGGACCGAGTTACCTAACCGAGTCCTAAGGGAACACGAAATATACGTAACGACTAAAGGAAACAGGAATGCCGTGGTGATGAAAAATAGGGCACTGTGGAATTACAATAGGTATGATGTTGTAAAAGGAATTTGGAAAGGTGTCATGGCTCCTAGTCTAGACATTCGGCAATGCGGTCTGGTGCATGAGATCAGAGGTTCAAGCAAGATTAGAAATTAAGCAACGAGGAATAGGTAGGCTAGCTTTAGGAGCTCACAGGAGCACACCAAACCAGGGAGTACAAGGTGATATGGGATGGTTATCATTCGACGGCAGGCAAGCTAGCAGCAAGATAAAATTTGAGGAGCGATTAAGAGAAATGGGGGAGGAGCGTTGGACTATGGTTTTCAGCTATTTGTACATGAGAAATGTCGATATAAAATGGAGGAAGCGAACCAGAAAATTGACGGGTAAATACTTAGAAAATAGCAGGGTTCCAAACCAAAAAGAACTCTCGGTTAAGAGGAAGGTGACGGAAACGGAGACCGACATGTGGAGAAAAGGCATGAATAAGAAGTCGTCACTAGAGATCTATCAAACTTTCAAGCAGGAAATTGCCAAAGGAAGGATCTATGATAATTCTCTGGGTCGTTCTCTATTGTTTGAGGCCAGGATGGAGGTATTGCGAACCAAGACTTACGGGACGAAATACGAAGGGGTAGACATCGTATGCAGTGCAAGTGGAGATGAGGAGAAAACTGTCGAACACTTGATAATGTTCTGTAAAGGGCTTCACCCTTATTGTTCAGGATGATGGCACAGAACTTTTAGTTCTTGCAAATAAGAGTTCCGTGCCAGGAACAGTATCTTCATGATTGTCTTAATTTAGTTTTTAATTATATCGTTCTACATATGCATAACATACGTGTATCTGTATAATTATGATTGTTAATAACCCCCAGAAAACTGCTGTGCCATGTTCTAAACCGAAGCAGAACAAAAATTATTTGAGTGCTACAATTTCACTTTACAATAAAGGCGCAAATACAGCCGGCACGCCTGCATGCTAAAGCTTTTCTAGGGAGTTAACGTGCTGTGTTTTCTAATTATGTCGCGGAAGGGCGGGCATAATCTTGTTACAAAATCACTTTAGGTTCGGTCTACACAGCATGAACCGTACAATTGGTCACTGTATCAAATCGTATATTTTGAGGGATACATCATCCTCCTCGACGACGTGTTATATTCGAGGAAACACGGTGTAGCCTGAACAAATATAGAGCTTATCAGAAATATTCAAATAACTTGAACCCCCCCCCCCCCCCCCCCCCGAAACACACACACACACACACACACACACACACACACACACACACACACACACACACACACACACACACAAAAAAACGTTAACTGCGTCACACTAGAAAGAAGAAAGCACAGACCTCGTCGGTTGTCATCAAAATGCTTTTCGGGAAGCTGCATCGCAAAAAAAAAAAAAAGAAAGTGAAACACTGCGAACCGAGAGCGATATATATCGCTCTTAGTCAAGCCAGAGGGCAGTCAAAACATGCAAGTTTCTCACAAATATCGAAGAAATGCGCGTCGAAACTCTTACGAGCGGCCGTCGGCGAGTGGCTTCAGCAGGCGAAGCTTTATTGAAGATGCCTGTGGCGCCACCTCTTCCACCTCTCCTATGTGACGCCAAATGCGTCAGAGAAGCCGGAAGTGAGCCCACTGCTCTTTTGTAGTACACTGTATTTGTGTCTAGCTGTCTGTGTTTTCCAAGTCCCGGGAAAAGCGAAGTGTGTGTTTGAACGCGCATTCATTGCGAAAGTCCTGCTGCGGCAAAGCTTCCAATGGTGAGTGGAGCATGTAAATACGGTTGGTGCTCCAGTAACCTGTGCTCCTCGCGCATAGTTGCGTGTACGCTCTCTCTTATTTCTGACAAGGAGTACGGCCACATTTAGGATGTGCTCATCTGTTTTTTTTTTTATTCATCAGCACTGCGTGCAACTATCATCCGTTCGAATTTTCACCTCCTCCCTTTTCGTGAGCTATAAATTCGTGCACGCATATTTAAAAGTTTTGATTTCTGTCAACGCCTGACCTCGTGTGATGTGCCCTTGTCGAGCCACCGTCTAAGGAAGAGGGGGCTCGTCTAAGCTTGAATAAAGTTTTTACTACTTTTGAAAATAACTTTTCTTTGTATCTATCTCTCCTAAAAATGTTGCCCTTCGAGTTCTTGTGAAGTAACGTTAATAGCGCCTGCCTGGGAGGTCGAGAACTTGAAAGCTGAACGGGTGCATTTATTTCGGTACTTTCACGATCTCACTCGATTAATGCGAGCGTGACACCCCACGTACTAAGTTCGGTGAAACCTTCCTCGTACCTAATGACCGATGTTGGCGTTAACTGTCGTCGTACCAACCGCGGCAGAGTGTCAAAACTCGCGGCGCTGCTTAGGTCGGGCTGCGATTCCCGGCCACTGTAAAGCAAAATGCATGCGTATTTCGTAAGAATTCCAGGTGGTTCAAGAGTCTGTCACTACGACGTGCCTGATATTTATATCGTAAAATTATCGTGAATGTCGCAACTAAAGCATGAATTGATCGAATACGTGAAGCACCGTATGGCGCATCCTGTGCTCCGCGGGTTTGCTAATTTCAGGCGTTAGTAGTTTGCCGTGGTCTTATACGTTCTCAGAGCAGGCTTTTTTTTGTGTGCTTTTTCGTCTGGCTTATGTTTAAATACAACTGTTATTATAGGTACCCTATAGGAAACCAGTGTAGGAGCTTTCAGTGCTCTGGCTGTCTCAATATATACATTGCCGCCGATGAGAGCGCCAACTGGCAGAGGCGATGCACGTGTTGATAAACATTGTGAGTCCGACAGTTCGGCTACGTGTACAGGTGCCACCACTACGATGAAAGTACGAAGGAGAATTGTGCGCTGCTTTATTTTCTTTTAAGGACATAGACATTCAGCGATCTGTGAGTTGCATCCATATTTTCCTTAATGGATTCTTTTCTCACCAGTGACTGCTCCCTCATGAGGTTTGTTAATTGATGCCCTTGCATCACCTGCATCATAAATCTTAAGTGCGAACCATTGCAATGTGCTTGTATGTTTTGCCTTCGCCAGCCTTGCACGGGCCGGTGACTCTGCAATGACGGCTACAAGAGAGCATTTAGAAACGGCTTAATGTGAACATTCGCAGGCTATCATTGTCGCACTTATAATCTCTCAATATAGCACTGTTCACGCAGAGATAACAAAAGATTCACGCTGATTAGCGGCGCCACCTTTGTGGCTACTACTGGACCATGCCGAGCTGTGTATATGCTCATAGAGTGCAGGCATGAGCAGCAAAGTGCGACGCTCAAACATGAACTGCTTTTGAACTTACTGTTTGCAGCATGTATTGTGTGTATATATTTTATAGTTGCTACAAATAGAAATATTTTGATTCTGAATTCTTCAATACGTCTTGAACATAGCATTCCCTCACCAGACGCTTTTACCGGTAAGCTTTCTTTGCACAAGAGAAAACATGTGCCATAAAAGTTGGTTGTCGGTGCTTTCAACTTTTCTCCAGTATTGGTGAACTTGTTCGATGATAGATGTATATTCATGCAAAAAAAAGTATGGCCAACAACACAATAAGGGAGGTCAAGAAAAGTGTAAATCTTTGTTTCATTTTTGGAGTTATTTTCATTTTTAATCCATGATTTTTCAGTTTGTCACTTAACTTGTGACATTGAAGCTTCCATGTGCATTCGAAAGTCACACAACTTCGGAGTCACAACATCACACTATATGGTTCAGACTGCTCATTATAGATTTATGTAGTGTGAGGGAGTTGACTGGAGTGGTCCTCCCCAAGTGCCTACAGTTAGTTACCTGACAACAAGAACATAAGTGGCATCAACAGAAGGCATGTGCACTCGCTATGGCACATTATTGAAATGCCACGAGTCCATTTTTATATCAAGGGCTGCTCGTGGTCCTTTGTTTCAGCTAGTTGTTTTTTTCATTGTGTTTTAGCTACAAGTTCTTTTTGTGAACCGAGTGGGCACTTATTTCGCATTGCCGGGGCCTTGACCCACTGTGCAACACCCCTTGTCTATATGATTAGCCAATCAGCTGATTTTTCTAGCTGTGTGTGTGCAGCAGTTATCCAACTTCAGCGCTTCATACACAGAAAAAAAGGGAGATTGATAGTACTCAGCGACAGCAGTAATCGGGCAGTATCAACCAGACACCATGCTTCTGGATGTAATTAGCGGGTGAATGGTTTCTCTGTCTTGTTGTATTTTGCTCACAAATGCCTGGTCACTTTGTCTTTAGGTGGCAGCTACATTAAGGAAACACTTCGGGATAGGCATTTGAGAAAAGGGGCATGCAAGCTTGCATGTAAAAAAAATTGATAGTTCTGGTAAAGCTTTGATACTGACATTTGAGTCAGATTTTCTTCCATATTCGAAACTGTTGCTTCAACCAGTGTGTGTGTGTGTGTGCTCACGAAGAGAAATAATTTTTTAGTGAATTTTTTTCATGACTTTTCTCGTAAGTTGTTAGTTTTTAATTGTTGATATTGCCCATGACCTTCATTAGTGTAATGCATTTTACTGATATGTGCTCTTCTAGTGAGTCTAGTAACGTGTATAGTTCACACCTGCCCATATATTTAGTGGACATTGTACTGAAGTCTTATTGGGATCTGTGAGTAGCCATCGCTATTATGAATGCGTAAACTGTCTACCTGGCATTATGCAATAGAAATTTTTTATTGTTAATTAAGCTCTGATGAAACTTTATATTTTAATCTTGTTAAGCATCATTTCGAATGTCCCCGGTATTAGTACACCTTGGCATGTCGTGATCTACTTGTAGGACTTTTCTTAAAAGGAGAAAAACAAGCATATTGCAAAAATGTTTTGAAGTAGTGTTCGTCAGATTGTGTTGTTACCCTCAAGAACTTTTAGAGATGTCAAGCGGTAAACCTTGAAGAATGAAAGTGGAAGTGAATATGTGAATTTGTGTTGTGCTCCGAGCTTATTCAAGAGAGCTTGTTATATGCACAACTCGTCTACTGGGGCTTACATTGGATGTCACATTGATCCAGGATGAGGCCGTTAACCTGGGAGAAACATCAGCTCTGACCTGTGTCCACGAGTCTTGCTGGCAGTGCCTTGTGCATGATCCACTCGATGGAAGCAACTGTTGCCTAGCCTGTGGTGCTCACCTGCTGCTTCACTGTTCCCAACACTGGAGTGCTTCTCGTGCTGTGGCTGCTGCTGAAGCTTTGGTTTCGGCACTCCGTGACCTGCCCGGGTCTCTTCCAGACCCCTTGCGCACCGCTGCTGCTCCACCCATCTGGTCTCTGCTTGCCACAGCACTGCACTGTGAGCAATGGCTATTTTTTAGATGCGTGCTGCCAACACCTCCGTGACTGCAGTTTTGCTTATAGCTGAACCTAAAAGCAGCATTTTTGCTCCCAGGAAAAGAAAGTTCAGTTGCAGCAGAAAGTGCTTGTGTGTGAGCTAAGAACATCCCAAATACTCTCACCATTTCATGATCTCAGGTAAGACTAGCAGGCTACTGGTCGCGAGGAAATACCGTGGCGCCACCATGTGGAGGCGTCCCTGTGACGTATGTGGTTGGATTATTCCACGGCCCTCTCGCGCGCAGCCCACAGCTGCTTTTGCGTCTCCTTTTTTTAATTATTTTTTTTCCATACTTCACTCGGTAAGATCAGTAAAATACTACTGCAGCTTCTTCTCTGACTCTACAAAGTGCTAAATAACCAGCCTGGAAAAATTTTACGGTTATCATAATGCCTGACTGCCGGCGTTGGCTGGTATGGCCACCTGGATGAAAACCGTGGGCGCTGAGCACGCCGCCTCTGAAAAGATGGCTACTCATATCGTGTCGAATTGAAGTATAAAATGGGTATAAACGGTAAAGAAACTTATCTCTGCGGCAAGAAATGCGCGCAACCGTGCATCTTCATTCATTGTAAGTTTGCGTCTAAAGAGGAGCCCTGGTTGACATGAGAAGCGTGCACAAATTACATTTTTATTTAGCACACATAGCCCTACGAAGCACAGCGCCAGCGGATTCTGTGCTTTTTGGGAAGCAACACAGCATTCTTACGGCCGCATGCAGCCGCAACTTTTTTGTTGTCATTGCGGACAAGAGTGAGAATGACGCATATGTGTGCCTCATTCAGAGTTTAAGGTTTCTCTGTGGCACGACCCTAATATGTGGCGATCGAATGTGCATACGTTGCACGTTGGGTCGCCTAGGAGCTATGCATTGGTGAAAATTATGAATGATTGGTTCAGTTCCACAGGTTTTATAAAAGGGTAAATCATGATAACAAATGCGATGTGCCAGCTGTATCCTTTTGCGACCTTGAATGTGCATGCTGCGAGGTGTTGTGTGATCTAAACGGCAATTTCATGTTTCAGTAAAATTGCCAATGTCGAGTTTTTTTTTTTTTTTCAAATTTTTTTACAGCTTTATTCATAAGCTGTGTTATATTTCGCGGCAGCTCTTAAAAGATGAATCAGATCTCGAAGCTGACCACGTTTTCACCTGTAGATCAAAACAACATTGAGAGGAAGTGACAGTGGTTATGGGCCCCTTCTACAGACGTAATCTATAAGGAAGGAATTAAACCTGCGAGCTGAAGTCGCGGGGCAGAAATTTTTTTCGGAGGTGGCACCACCTTGATTAGAGTTGGGCCCGGGCAAGCAGCAGAGGCGGTAGATCATTATTTTGCACACATATACCATGGAAATATTTTTTTGGGGGAGGGGCAGGAAGGAGGGCTTGGTGTGCCAGCCCACTGGCGGATGGGAACCTGTGTGGTTGGGCACACAAACGGGGACGGGCACACGGGAAGGAGAATGGGGGTGGCACAAAATGCGGTAAAGGTTACCTTGGCGAGAGAAGTAAGCTTTTGCGAAGACAGGAGCCGCACATGATGATGCAAGAAAGAAGCTTTCATCAAACGCACTGGCCGATCACACAAAAGCAACTGGCCACGAAATAGATCGAAATAGGGTGAAAATAGCGAAAATAAAGGGAAAAGAATTGGACTTCCGGGCTATTTTGACTCTAACAATTCAGACAATGGCGCACATTTTTTAAATGTAAGAATGGCAACTTTCCCCACATCTGTGCTCCGATGTCCTATTTTAATATATGCATAATCAGACCGTTTGCTCATTCATTTTTCGTGAACGAGGCTCCTGTGCGGAAACTGAAACGATCTGCTTTTATGCGAACATTTATGGTCTGTGCTTTAACCTCATGGGCTCGAAATAACAATCACAACAAAGAAAGTGAGAGGTGACAGTGGCACTCCCAGCGGCCAGTAGCATCGCATATGCAGTGAACTATGGCACGCCGCCGATGACTGGTACTGCCACTTTTCACATTGGTGTAGTGTGTGGAAGTCTGCGCACCTTGAGTCAGAGCAATACAACGTTGTTCAAAAATGAAAACACCGCGAAGGCACGGTAAAAACAATACATCCAACCGTCAGCTTTCCTTCACTAGAGCGTGGCGAGATCACGTGATTCCATCCTGCACCTCACAGCGATTGTAGCACTCGCGCCTCTAGTGGTGGGCGCCACGTCCAATATGAAAAAACAAAAAGAAGGCTTCTAGAAGAAGAAAAAAAAAAAAACAGATATGCTCTAGTGCTGCCAAGCTTGAACGCAGTGCGGAGCTGGGCGGACTTCGTTTTATCTTCTTTTTTCTCTTTCTTTGTTCTTCTCTTTCATAATTTTTCTCAAATCTCTTTCTCGCTCTTTTTTTCTCTCCTTGCTCTCTTCCCCATCCTGTTTTCCTCACTATCACATCTCTCCTTCTCACTCATTTCTATTTTCCACCCGCTTGCTGTACTATACTCTACAAGGCTATGCTATGCTCCGATAGTGTGCATCGATTACGACGCTTACATTGTAATCCAGGTAAATAGCTTTGCACCTAACTATCTGTGTACACTGCTTGTTTGCCCGCACTGCCCAAACCTTTGGAGGGGAACGTTGAGGGTCTGTAACAACTACATGGAAGCGAGGCAACTTGGTTGACATTCTGCTTTGCCAAAATGCAAGGTGAACCTTGTTGTAAAAGACGCATGGTATCAGAAGTAGTAGTTGCTTTCACGAAACATTCAGAAGGATCTATAGAGTCTGCAGTGGTGTGTTGGGTGATTGAAAGTTTGCTTTTGAAGGTTGGGCAGCTACATTTATTCAAAATTTCTTGGATGAGCAGTCAAGTCAGTAAACATAGTTTTACTCATGGATAGCGTGCCAGTTTCCTGTGCTTTGGTTGCTGATTTATGCTTTTCTTCAGCAGGTATAGCATAGCTTCTTTTGACTTCACTTTTATAACGAGTAAGCTAGATAGTATCCTCAAATAAGGTGAAGGCAGCAGTGTCTTCAGCTGTTGAGATTGAGTCCAAGGTATTTTCAAAGGAGATCGCATTAATGGTTATTGCTATTTGCCACATATGGCAAGGCCACTGATGCAAGAAGCTCATGGAATGCACATTCATCCTGTGTGGAGTGGGATATGATTAGCAGACATGTGGGCCCCCTCTGACTCTTCAGATCAACAGAGAACTTCTAAGCTTGCCACCTTCCGCATAAACCGGAGCACCTCGGAGGCCCGCAACTGCTCTTGGTCATAGACCCACTTTGGAGCTGCTTTCACAAAAAACTGTCAAGCGATTCACCTGTTTGACCACAGGTGTCTTTGTATAGAAAATCGTGCACATACACTACATAAACAAAGGACCCCATGCGTTTGAAGCCTTTCAGGTTTGATAATCTAATGAATGAAATTTTTTTTTCACCACAGCATTCATGGGCCACACATCTGATGCTGAAGCTTTGCACGCAGCTGCACAGGGTGAGTTGTGTGTCATGCAGAAATTCTAATCAGTTGAGCTTAGTGGGTTTTGTAACTTGTGCTGCTAAGGGACAGTGGGAGATGAGGGGTGACAGCTCTAACTTGTCGAGGAACGTTAGAGAAACTGGGTAGCACGACATCTTCCAGTAAATTATGTATTGTTTATTTGTAATGCCATTTGTAGATTTTTCTTTCTTTCAAGTCATTAACCATTTTTATCAGATTACTGTGGTTATTTAGGTCTTAATTTAAATTATAAATGTATATAGGCATGCCATGCATTCATAATTTCATTGAGGTCTTCAATTTCTCACCAAAAGTGTTCTCTCATTTGGTTATCCACCCCATTGTAAATAGTCTCGTATGAACCTATCTAAAGTAAGCTTGCACAATAAATTACTATGGAATGTAAATTTAAAAAATAGCTAGAAGGTCATATGGAAACTGGCTATGAAAAAATCCGTAAACAGAGGGGAGGGGGGCGGGTGCTTGAGCGGAAATTTCGATAAGTGGACTTGTTTTCATCTAGGCTTAAACTGATTTTCTGGAAAGAATGTCAAGTGATTTTAAATGCGACACATTTTTTTTTTGCATACTGCAGGCACTTTTGTCCTCTATCTACGTATCTATCAACACTCTAGCCGCCTACGGTCTGGGTGGTCTCGTGATCACCCCCTTAAGGGGGACACTGTGCTTGAGAAATGCCAGAAATTTTCATGTGTTTATAAAGAAAAATTCACAGTGTGATTGAGTTTTTGATGCTGATTTCAAAATTGTAATTACTGTTCCTCTAAACCAATTAGCTTTTGAGATATCCTAAAATTAATTACCTATTGTTTGCCGGTATGATAGCACAAAAAATTTGTATTGCAGAGCTACTATTGGCATATGCCTGTGTACTAATGAACATAAGCCACACATTGGTAGGAGTGCTTTTTTGATTTGATAATTTTAGCAAGGTTTGTCACACCTTGCGTTTCAGTGTTGCAGACACACCCACTTTACGCTCTAATTTTTGGCAAAAATAAGATTTTTGATGACCTCAATCAAAAATTCACACCTACCATTGCGTAAACTAACGATACAGCTACATGTCACAACAAAAAAGATAGTCCTAGCTGCTCCGGAGGCAGAGATATCTTTTAGACAAGTTTGCAACTGCAGCAAAATTTGAATCCTGAGAAATCATGCAAAAACACAAGTCCATTTTAAACAGACTGTAGCATGGAAAAGCTGATTATTTACAATGACTTGCAAATTCAGCTTTCAGTAGGCGCCAGGCATGTCGTCCTTCTGTTTTTTGTCACCTAAATGGCATTTTTTCAATGCCCGCTGCATGTTTTCCGCAGAGGCACACTTGCGAGCTGATGCGGTCGCCGTGTGCTCGTCTGCTGACTAGGCCGCTTATCAGTTCGGTGCCGCCCATGTGCGACGAATGTGCGCATGGGCGGCATCCGTCATATTATAAAGCGATGTTTTCCAGCTTGTCCAGATTGAGTTGTCGCAGACCAAACTCACACACTCGCTCATCAATTTCAAAGCTGCAAGAGCAGCGAGATGTTAGTTTCCTTTTTACGTAAGATTGCCACATTTTCGAATGGAAGCCGCGGCGCAATATGTTCATCGTTGCGGACGCATCGTTACAAGCACTCTACCTGTTGCCAGTAGCCTCTATTGTGCGGGCGGCGAGCACGTTCACCGTAAATAGATTGATTTTCTGTTGTCTGTCTACGCGCGGCGAACTCCACCCTGACCACCCGTCACGCAGTTCACGTCAGACGGGGGGAACCGGCGGCATCGGTGCGTTTAGCGATAAGACTGCGCTTTCGTTACATCGTTGCAAAGATTGCTATCTCTCATAGCTTCAGTTCTGCTTTTTTCACTTTCCATCCTGCAACTGTTGAGGCTCCAAAACACAGCCGCTTTCAGCGACGTTGTCGACAACCGACGAGCTTGTACGTGAGTTAGGTTACCAGTGACTCGGCGACCGCCGTTGATCGCCGTGAGTTGGTTATTCTCCCTGTCCTGAATGATAGCGGGGCTCTTTGGGAAGTTAACAGCGAAGAAACGATCGCCACACCTGCTTCACGAATTAGTGTTTCGTGGAACTTATTTACTGTGGCAGGCAGTCGACAGCACCATGACAAAATGGTGCATGTCCGTGCGCGACACGATGGTGAAGCAGACGCCAGAAACGCCACTTGGCCAAATGGTGCCTAGCTTTTCTCACATGCCCCAAGCAGCCAACAGAATCATGCGCTGGTGCTTCTCGATGACGCGTTTTTGCTGAAAAATCAGTGCGCAAGGCGAGCCACTGGTGGCGGGAAATTGAAGATGAAGAATGACGCTTCAAAACGAGACCAAGATGACCACGATAGCTCATGTGTAACGGTATTGGTTCGGCATGAAAAAAGCGCGACTTTAGCGTCTATTCGTGCTCAGATTCATCTCACAGGGGTGTTATAAATTGATTTTGTGCTAAAAATAATGATGCGAGAGGCTATGTTAGCGTTGTAATCACCGTGCGTAGAAGGCCCCTTTGCCTTATAATTCTGCGCGTTCCAAGCTTGTAAAAACGGGGATTGCCGAATTGTGTCTCCGTTCCACTCTTGAGAAATCTTGCACACATGCAACGCAAGATAGTTTTAATGATCAGGCGCAGCACTTAATTGCTGCCGGGTATCCTTGCACGGTAGTGACGGCAATTGCAAAGGTTCTTCTGCGTGATGCCAAAGCAGCGCGTTCCAGCTTGACCCATGGCCCGCATCGCAGGTGGCATCCGGAGGTGGTGCCTTATATGCATCGCATTTCCCGCAACCTGAAAAAGATAGCGAGTTGGCATGGTGTGCCGATTGTGTTCTCTGCCCCACGTAAGCTGGCTGGACTTTGTCCCACAATCTTCTCTGGCAAGAAGAGATTCAGTGGTTACACGTGCTTATGTATGTGAAATGTGCGACTGGTTTCATCTACAAAATACCGCTGTCTTGTGGGAAATGTTATGTAGGTCATATGGGGCGTTGCGTAAACGACCGTGCAAGGGAACATGAGCTTTCACTTAAAAATGACGGGATCATGCATTTGCCTGCGCATTGCAAAACTTGCATTTGCTCACTGATTTTCTCAGAGATTATGGTTTTGGGTCGAAGTGCTGATACCACAGCCCGTAAACTGATGGAAGCCTTTTATATGGCTACAAGAGGTGACGCTTGTGTTAGTGATATGTCAATATCATTATTTGATAGTGAGCGTGATTTTTCGCGCGGTATGCTGCAAGATGTTTGGTTCAGACCTTGTGACTGCTTGACTTTGTTATATGTGACTATATATATGAAGGATGACGAAGAAGTGAATTCGATTGAAAGCTTGCGCTTCTCCCTGTCTGTTCTTTTCTGTTGTCTTTTGTCTGCATTTGCACACACCAGTTTACCCTGACTTTTTGCTTGTCCATATCTGAAAAGGTCTGCCGCCTTTCTTGCGTCTAGCCGAGCAGTCACACTTTGTGTTATTAACAGTCGCAGATAAAACTTTTAACATGCTTGCCTAGAAAATCGATAAACTGCATTCTTTAACAATGACATGTGGACTGAGGAAGGAAAAAAAAAAGGCAAAAAAGTCTGGCCTTAGTTTGCCGTATACCGAATGCAGTTTTGCCTCTGTACACTCGTGGCATTTATTATTTTTTTTTTTTTCAAAAAGAGCCAAGTGCGCAAACTGAAACTAGCATAATAATTGCATGAACTTCCAGAACAGTTGGAAATACAATGGGTCAATTCCTGATTGTAACGTGAACTCAAACAGGCAGTTTTCAATCTGAGCTAAATCCTGCATATGCTTCTGTCAAATTGAGCCTATTCATTAAACCAGCACTGTGTCAACAACCATGACCGATATAACTCGCGTGGTCTCATCTAGTCTGTTTCATTTGTGTCCTACAGTAAAAGCTCGTTTATTCAAAGTCAATGGGGTCACCAGAAATTTTCGTAATAAGAGGGCTTTTGAATTAACAGAACTTACAAAAAGTGAGATGCAAGGAACTTGAAACTATTCAAAGTAATCAGGGCTTGTCATTTGCTGTGCCGGCTAGCATGCGACTCCAAGTGTTATGTTTTTCAGCATTACCTGGTCTTAATTTTGCTGCAAACGTGGGGAAACGGTAAGCCTAGCTGCTGCCACCAGGAAAAAAAAAAAAACCTGTCGTGACAAATTGAAATGTGCGCCTGCTCAAAACAAGACATCTTCACTGCAACACAGCAGTGACACGCAAGCAATTTGTCGCCTGCTCCTTGCTGTGTGAGAACGTTCAGATGCTACCATACGCACATTCTCTCTGGTACAGTTAGGAATTTAATAATGGCCAGCATGACGAAACTCGAGACGTGTTTTCACTTGCAAAAAATTACCTTTGAAACTTTTGAACTTCGTTTTTGAAGTAGGTGTTGCTGGCAAGAACTCTGCCAGCAGTGCAAAGGCGCAAATTGCGGGAGCAACCGGCAATCGTAAGTTTGAATGCATCGCGAATTCTGTCAAGCTATTTTTTGTTAATTTCTTTACAATCCCAGAAAAAATGAGTAAACCATGACCCGCTCACGTTGCAAGAAACATGCGATATGCTGCCCATGTGTTTCGGCTGAGTTGCAGTGAAGCACATTTTGTTTTCGGCACGTGCACATTTCAGTTGACTATAAGACAGTTTTTTTGCTCTTTCTTTTGCACTGGAAGTAGTGAGGCTGGGGTGCTTCAGCTGCCACTCATTAGTATCACTACATTGCATTGCCTTGTGTCTATTAAGGGCCGTCGTTTCCGTGGATTTGCAGCGGAATCGGGATTTGGAACTGGCACTTGGCACCCAAAGTTTTCGAATTAACTAAGCTGGTGTCGGCCACCGCTTGAAATTATCCTCTGAAGCTTACATAGCATAATACAGGGCCGCGGACTTTGAATTAAGCGGGATTTCAAAATAACGGAGTTTGAATTAATGAGGTTTTACTGTGCTTGCTTTG